ACACACACACACACACACACACACACACACACACACACACACACACACACACACACACACACACATGCACGCACACGCACACACACGCAGAGAAAAGTGTATGCACATTCTCATGAACAAAAAGTACATACCTTCGAGATCCTTCAAAGAAGCAGGACGGTTGGGGATTAGTCTATGCGGAAGCCGCTGATCCGTGTCCAGGTCGTCCATGTACCAGGCCTCCAATGGTCCAGAGCAGGCCTGAGCACAAAAAAAGTGTTCCCAAGATGAGGCGCGCTTAATAACCCCGAGGCACAAACACAGCACAAGCCAAAATCGCCATGCCTCATGATCATGCATGGCGACTGAATGGCACATCGGCTCATCCTTCATATGCCAATACCAACTAAATTTCCAAAAAGGATATAAACTGAAAATCCCAAACCACGACGTGACGTAAGCACACATGTCACATAAGCCAGAGCCACAAGGCCATGTCAGCACAGTGGTCGATTGGCACGCCACTTCTGCTTTACAAAAAACGATATCCAGATATCAATTCCCTCTCATCTGCATCTGACCTGTTTATGATCCAGATGTACACATCTGCCAGATCTTATCTATTTCTAAACTATCTTTCACCTGATGGGCCTAGCGCAGTCGGACACCCATGAACTGTTGATGTACAGACCAAAGTTCGAATCCAAATGCAAACCCAGTTGAACAGGATAAAATTGCTCATTCTGAATTATCTGGGGCCGGTCAGTTCGATGATGACATCTTAAGGCGGCCGCTCTTTTTTTCCCTAAGAAAAGCAAAAAAAGATATCTTTCAAAATACAGTGGAGCGACCGGACCAGCAGTGTGGGGCTCAGAAGTGTGGGGGTCAAAAGAAGGCTGTGGCAATTTCTTCCTTCAGCTTTTCATTTGGCTTCGCCAGTTCTGTGTGGGGGTCTCAAGAAGGCTGTGGCAATTCCTACCTTGAGCTTTTCATTTGGTTTTGGCAGTTCTGTGTGGGGATCAGAAGTGTGGGGGTCAAAAGAAGGCCGTGGCAATTCCTTCTTTCAGGTTTTCGTTTGGTTTCGGCAGTTCTGGCTTCACGATAAGTCACTTCTGGACTTCAGCAGGCATGGATGTGGTGGACTTGATCCCCAGTCTGTTGTCCGTTTCACCATCAAGTGTGGCATGGCCCCTTGCCGCACTATCTTCCACTAGAGCGTGGAAAGGTACACCGACATAACTTTTGTCTCTGAGTGAGTGCCTTTGCGCATTTAGTATATTTTTTTGTCTTTGGGTGGGTGTCTTTGCGCATTTAGTATAATTATCTCCTTTGAGTAAGTGTCTTTGTGCATTTAGCGAGTAGTGCGGCAAGACACATTGTCTGCCCAGCTGTTGATGTTATTCACCCAATCCACGACCAACAGGGTCGAGCGGGGGAGGGAGGGGGGCCTTGCACGGACTAAGGGCCTCGCCACACAACTCCGGATCCCGAAAGTTTTGAGAGGGCCTTGCTGCACCACTGTCGAAAGGAAAAAAGTATGAGCGCATCTTCACGCAGAGAGTGGCAAGATGCATCCATCATTATAAAATACCGAAGGACACATCTTACCTCTTCCTGGGGAAGTTGCATTCATTCATTTCTCGTACCAGTGGTGTGGAGAGGCACCGAGAAGTGGGAGGCCCTGCGAAGTGGGAAATCCCATCCGAAAGCGCCACACTGCGCTCTCGAAACGGGCTCCCCCAACATCCTAGCTTGGCAGTGGGCAAATAGGACGATGAATCCTCTTGTCCTATTTGAGTGGAGCTCGACGTTTTTTCGGGAGCATTCGGGCTTCGAGGTCACCGTCCGAGGTCCCCCGAAACTCCCATCGGAAATTCCGGGAGTGCTCTTGGGCCTTGAAACCTGACAGCTCCCAAGTCCGGTCTGACAAGTCCAATTCCCGAGCTGGTATAGGCAAGTTGAATCCGCGAAATTCGACAATTTCGGGATTGGAGTGGCCTCGCCACACCACTATCGAAACAGAAAAGTAACTCGAGAGGTGTCAGATATTTTCGAGAGCCCGTGCATCGAGACTGCTTCGCCACACAGCACTCTCGAAGTGGCAACACTTGAATCTGGGAGACACAGGGGCCTCGCTCCACTACTCTCGGCTCACGAAAAAAAACGTGAGTGCTTCTAGAGCTGTCAGAGGTCTAGAACTCATGAAAAAGGAGGCATCGCTCCTCTTACTCCAAACTCAAGAACTATAGAAGCACTCACGAATTTGTCAGCGCTACATGACAGCCCTTCCACAGCGCTAGATGACAGCACCAGCTCGTTCTGATGGTCGGAGCGGGAGGCACACTCGCGAAAAAAAGAGGTCGGAGCGGGGGTAGGAGGGAGGACGCTAGAAAACGTGAGCATTGCAGGCTGTGAACTCTATACAAATCGAGAGTGCCCTTCGAGAGCGCTTTCTGACAGCTCTCGAAGGGTGTTGTCATGAGTTCCAGTCCAGAGTAAGTGGAGCGAGGTGTTACTCTCAAAACTTTGGAAGTCTAGAGTAGTGGAACGAGGCCCTAGAACCAGAAGTATTGTGAGGGTAAGAACCCTCTCAAGAATGGAGAGGTATAGGGCATCGCCACACCACTCTCGAAATGTGCAAAATGAGAATGAACGTTCCTCTAGAACACGGCCAGATGCACTCGCCACAGTTTTGTTTTTTTCACATTTTCGAGAGTGGTGTGGCGAGGCCCATAGGTCGGCCACAAGCAATCTAAAAAACGCTGGCAGTGCAGGATGGGAAGCAGGAGGGTTTTGTCGGACACTTGGAGAGGTTCTTCATTGGGCGTCGCTCCACTACTCTCCAAATCTGCAAAATGCAGATGAATCTTCCCCTACAACATGGAAGTATACACCGCAATATTTTTTGTCTTTTATGCATGTGGAGACGAGCGAGGCCCATTGTGTCGGATTTCGAGAGTCTGTGTGGCCATACACAACCTCTCGAATCTAAGGGCCTCGTTCCACTACTCGTCATTCGCCATGAGCTCTGGCGGACGGTGGCGGTCCGGAAAATAGCAGTTTTGCGGCCAAAAATGGCACATGGTTCCATTTCCTCGCGGCTGTCACGGGCAATGCGATAACTATCCCGGCCGACTCTGATGGCGGATGATGGCGGGTGAATGGAACGGTGATGATGTCTCGCCACAGTGGCTCTACGGGACTCTGTTTTCGTGGCAGATGGCAAAATCTCACCCACACTACGGGACAACCCAGGCCATGCGTCAGACCCATGGTGTCAGAGGCGGCTGCCAGAGAGGTCACTCCTACCACCCTCCACAAAAGTGCATGACAGGCGGGAGAAACGAGAGGGCTTGGCAAGAGACCATCGTGCACATTTTTTCGCATTTTCTGACAGACACCATTTCGTGGCTGTTGGCGACGTCGTGGAATGGTGGCGAGGTCGCCACCGTGGAGGACGGCGAGTAGTGGAACAAGGCCCTAATGGTTTCAAGAGTAGTGTGGACATAAGAAACCTGTCGAATTTAGTGGTTTCAAGTGTTGTCGTGGGCAGGCCCTTAGAGCCTACATGTAGTCGCACCAGTCCCCATCCGCCGAGCGCAGTGTGGCCAGGCCCTTAGGGCCTCGCCACACCATTCTCGAAATGTGAAAAATACAAAAATGTGGCGGGTGCATCTGGCCATGTTCTAGCGGGAATTCAATTCTCATTTTGTGCACATTTCCAGAGTGGTGTGGCGGCAATGCCCTAAGGGCCTACCGGTAGTTGCAGCACTCGCCGTCCTTAGGAGCCTCGGAACCGCGTTGGGGAGGTCTTGCATAAGAAATTGGGTGGGCCCTGTTGGTACCCCCCTCAAAGGGTTGCGAGGTCTTGGATAAGAAATTGGGTGGGCCCTGTTGGTACCCCCCCTCATAGGGTTGCGGGGTCTTGGATAAGAAATTGGGTGGGCCCTCTTGGTACCCCCCTCATAGGGTAGCGGGATGTTATGAGGACCACGGCGAGGGCAGCAGGGACGTAACGGCTGTACGGACAGGGGATGGTGAATTTCGGCCGGCCGTATCGTTGCCGTTGAAGTAACAGATCTACGGACATAGCCTGGCAGATTGCTACCTTCGTCCCCCAGTACAACGCACGGTCATTATACTGTATTTAGACTGAAAGATACCTCCCATACAGCTATCATGACCGTACGTTCTACTGAGGGAAGAAGGTAGGCGTTGCCTCGTGCAGCGACGGAAAAAAAAGACATATGCACAAAAATAGACCGACCCACCCAAAAAGAGAAAAAAACGTTAACGTCGTTTCCTTCATGACGACGGTATCGTTTTGCCTTCTCTTTCATACCACAAACAAATTTTCGTGCCCCCCTTGATTCCTTCAATCCCATCATTCCCCCTCTCCTTTCCCCCCGGTCAACTCCGCACGTTTCCTCCTCTTGTCATATATATCGTCCCATCAATATCAGAGCGCAAAGGCGAAAAAAACAGAAGAAAACAAGAAAAAAATAATTCGTTTTTTTATCTTCTTTCTTACAACTCCCCTACATATATATATCGTCACACATTTATCAGAGCGCAAATGCGAAAAAAAGAAGAAATAAATTCATTTTTTATCTTCTATATATCGTCACATAGATATCAGAGCGCAATATATATCGTCATGTGATAAATATAATATATATGATAATATATATTGTCACATGATATCAGAGCGCCTAAGCGAAAAAACCAAAAACACAAAAAAATCTTAAATTCGTTTTTAATCTTCTTCCTTACAACTCCCCCTGTTCAGAACCTCTTGCGTACAAGGCCGCCCACGTGGATGTAGGTTGAGCGGCGGCTGCCCC